CTCCACTTATATGAATGTTCCATTTCTAAAAGAGCAAAGTTATGAAAGGAAATTGAGTCGCGACCCTTCCTCAGCATGACACGAGTTTCCCTGGACAATTCGTGGCTACACATTTTTACATTTGGGTGGACAGGAGTACTTGAGTCTTGTCAAGAAGAAATAACATTACGAGGCGAGGGTTCATACTCAGACCTTTCGACTTAGATATCGGATATCACGTTCCGTGCGGACGGAAATGCGCAAACAGGTTGCAAACTGATCGGTGTTCCCTTGGCATGCGGTATAACATCCGTCCTCATTGTTCCCAAATGAAGAGACAGACACTAGTGACAGAGTTCATCGTAGTTTCAAATTCCCATACCTTAACATCACGTTCTCAATAACATAAAGAGGTCATGAGCACTTAAAAACCGTCTGTCGCACCAATCCTTTTCAGAGCCATTCCTACTTGGACGATAAGGCTACAAGATCAACGACCTTCTCTTTCAGGTTTACACCGGTTGCTGTAGAAAATGGAGAAGCTTTTTGGACTCGGATTTCCGGCAAAGATTAAACATTGTCATTTTAGCTGTGAACTAGCTTTTAAAATGAAGCAAACAGTTCCAACTTATCTCCGAAGAAGCGGGCCTAAGTTTGATGGAGCGATATCACGGCGTGTGCTTCACAGCTTATTGAAATTTTGATAAGGTTGAAAATTGAAACTTTGCTGTTTTTTCAGATTCTCTTCATTAGGTCATCGGAATAGCTTAACCCTTTAACTCCCGTGAGTGACCAAGACAAAGTCAAGTTTCTCGTTACAGTACCAAGCCGACATCTGATGTCGGGGAATACTGAAATATAGTTAAGGGGATTATCAGTTGATCCAGTACGAAATTCTCAAAAATAATATCATACGAATTTTATGGCAGACAGTAAGAGAATTATAGTGGTGGACACTGCCACTCGCTAGGTGTGGCTGTTTAAAGAAAGGCTTCGTACAGAAATTTAAATAAAAATAAAACAAGGGGCCGACTAAAACAGACTTAAGCGTGGAAATCAACTAATCAAATCGTAGAAACAACTCACTAAACAACTTAATAGAGAGATATTTGCGTAGATAAATCAATAGAAGGTCAATAAAACTGACAATCGGATGTTGAACTGTCAGTTCGTTACTATCAAAAAATTGGACACTGTCCAGCTCAGGGTTGGCATTGCGTGTTTGGCGCTTAGCCGAATCATGTCATTTTACGTGTCGGTATTTGGGCTACTGACCTAAAATAGACCCAATTTACAATGCCCTCTTTAGGAACATTTTGATAGTTGCATTTCCTGACACAAGGACACAGGCAGTTCTCTTTATTGAGTCGGGACAAGCGCAGCTAAACTGACGACCAAAATGGTGAACCTTGGGGAGATTTTTCCTGATTTCCATGTCCGCACCAGTGAAGGCGAGCTTGATTTCCACAAATTTATCGAAGGATCGTAAGTAGAAGTTTGGAATAATTTTTGCGCACTGTAAACCCTTTTTGAATTTTTGTTCTCTGTGGTGGTCCACAAGTCTAGTGCCTAAAGTTTTTCTGTTAACTTTTATTCTCCGATCTACCGAGATCTAATTTGACGTTTCATCTTGCAGAACTGACAAAACAATTTCAGCTGGCTGTTCGTTCTAGTCATTCATGATCTTTTGTTGGCTCTGGCCTGCACAATACCGTTTGCGTTGTTTACATCGAACGCGGGTTATATATTTCAGTTTAATCAAACCCATTTCGACTTTTGCACGAAAGATGTCAGCACATGCACGAAAGATGGAGAGAAAGAAATGATTTGAACTGTCTTGACATGCCACTCTTACAATCCGTATTAGTTATGGGGTGTGTTGTAAGGATAGTGTTCCATTAATTAAGGGGGGCTCTGTTACGTCAATTTGACCTATTTTCGTGATAGGAAATATTTGCAATGTCATTTCCCGTGGAAAAACGAACGCTCGACGTCAGAATGAGCCAAGCAGAAGCGAGGTGTGTTAAGGATTTATAAGGACTGCGAAAGATAAATAAGAAAATGTCAATTACTTGCACAATGTTATGAATTCAACTAAATTAAGCCATCAGTCAAACAGATGATGAATTATCAATTACTGACAAGTAACTAATTAAGGCAAACAAACGGTGACCTTTTAGGTGGAAGAAGGTATACAAAAAAAAAAGAACTTGTTCAATATGTAACAATCCGGGCTATGTTTTTTCAAGGGATTACATGTGTTTCTAAGCCCTTAACAATATTAAAAGATTTGAAATTGAGACAAAAACAGAAAGGGCGGCCCACTTGAATGCTCTTTAGTGAGTTGTTAAAGAACCCGTGCTTACACAGGCCCTGGCCTCCGAGAGTTATG